CTATCCTTTGATGACCATACCGGTTTGAACAGCATCGACCCAATTCAATAAACCTCTCAACTACTGGGAAGGAAATTATGAACAAAATAAAGCGGATCAGCAAGCTCCTCTGTGGAAGGAGCCGCCTTATTAAAATGGACACCATCTCCTCCCCTATTCGAGCAATACCAAAAATTTTGTCGGTTTACAAACTACACAACTGAAGCCTTTCTCGGTTAAAATATTCTATGCGGGGATATAATTACCAATGATATACGTTATTCTCGCCATAGGGACACGTCAACCCAATCCCATCCAAGGTCAAACAATGTTGAACGGTTTAAGCTGGATTGGTTTAACTTGCACATCCAAGTGAATGACCTTCAATTGGTCTAGGACAGCCAACGGCGTTTATAACTCCTGTGTCCTAACGCTCAAGTCCGAAGTTTCGAAATCTCGGGCGTAAAAATGAAATTGAAGACTATTCGACGTTGTTCGTTGTTTTTTTATGAATCCGTCGTTCATTGAATGCACAGTGTAGCCAACATTGATAGCAGCTCAGAGGTAACTCGTAACTACTAGTGATTCTAAACTAGAGTACAAAAATAGCCAAGGATGGATACACTTTATAGTTTCTTCTGAGAGTGTAAAAAGAAATTCAATGAAAACAATGTGACGCCCGAGACTATACATCATAGTACGAGAGAAATGTAGACAGCCTCAGATGCTGATTACAGAGGCGCTTGTGACTTGTTGCCATTCACGAACATGAAATGAAGGATGAACAGTAGGGTCAATGTTGAGTCCAGTTGATCGATTTGAGGTCGACACCCTCGGAAACCATCTCCCAAAGGGGGCTGCACAAATGGAAGGAAAGCGGGACAGGACGGGTTACCATGAAGAGTTACAGGACCAATGAAGCTGGCACATACAGCAGGCTAAGTGCGTTCTCCTCAAGTACCATTAACCTGACGTGATACGACAGATTTGCCATAGCAAACAACAGCACAGAACACTGGTACGGCGAACACGTTTGGCCGATTTCCTTTAAAGTATCCTAGTTCGAGGATTTCCACTGCTCCGATAGTAACTGAGTGCCTATTCGACCTTTTGACTGCTCTATAGTGACCACAATTCTATAGTAGGAACAGCCGGTCGAAGTGGCACCTTTCGGTTGGTCTATAAAGTTCTTCCCATTGCCCTAACGAGTTTTCACACTTACGGTTACATCAGCTAAAATAAACGATCGTCCATTGTTCTCTCCTCCGGTTGCCCAAATAGACCACAATGTGGGGTCTAGCACGTCTGAAGCGCGCTGACTTGAATATGGATTAGATAGTTGTTAACCTGTTAGCCTGGAAAGACAGTCGGCGATCGAGAAATCACTCTCCCTTGATGGGATGTTTGCAAGCCAACCACTCAACTTTGAGAATAGATAGACCACTTGATCCCTAAATAACGGACGCACCCAAACTATAAGTCGTTCGACACATTCCCAACGACGCTAGCTTATTCATTCTAACAGTTGTCAATTGTAGCAAGAACAGTAAGAAAAAACCTTGATGAGCTACTGAAATTGGAGGGAGATAGAAAAAGAGGAGACAACAATAGCCCTAACCCTATTCACATAATCCTAAGTCGATTCCGACGTTGCGTAGTTGATATATATATATACATATATATATCCAACAGAAGGATTAAGTCCACACTACACTGCTGCACATGACCTTACGACGGTGGGGTACGGTAAGTGCGAGCGATTTAAGTCGATTGTCAATGAGCCAGAAATGATCCCGTAAAAAGTGTAACGGCACAACGGGCGACGAAATGCTTACAGCTCAAATTTAGGATTAAGTCCACACTACACTGCTGCACATGACCTTACGACGGTGGGGTACGGTAGGGCAGTGCGATTTAAGTCGATTGTCAATGAGCCAGAAATGATCCCGTAAAAAGTGTAACGGCACAACGGGCGACGAAATGCTTACAATCTGCTCAAATTTGGCTTTATTTCCTAAAATCTGTTATCGCACGCTCAGATGTGTTCAGACATACCAAAAATAAAGCCTGTAAAGTTTTCATTAACAAGTCGATAAAATGTGAACAACGGAACTTGAACATGACAACTAGTCTGTTAGCTGTAAACGAAAAAGAGAGCTAAAGGTGACTAGTTGTTGGTGGAGGATGACAGGTGATGAAGTTTCTACCTCAGCATCAGAGGTTCTTCACCTCTAACGACGAAACTTTCTAACAACTGTTGCGCAAGTTGTTCCCCTTCTTGTTGAAAAAAGCATTTGGGAAGAACAGAACGACAACACGACTAATTTGTTTGCAAAATGTTCGACTATAGACACCTAGGACTCCGAGATCACTAAACTCTTGGATGGATGATGATAGACACACTGTACGTCTTTATTCAGTGTACGCCGTTCTGAACCAAGGATGCCTCCCTCAAACTCGTTTTTTTGCTCCAAAAACTCTTCGTTACTAGTACTTGTCTGTGGGCTCCAAGCAACTGACCCAAACCTTTGAACCTCATCCGAGGAATAATTTATCCATATCCATTAAAAATAGATTTTGTTCAAAACTAACCTGCAATGTCGAATGTCCGACAAAGAAAAACAACGGTAGCGTGCTAGGTAAACAAATATGAGCTCAAACCGAAGTCAAAGAATCACCTTACTAGCGAGCTCCAACCGAAATCGCTGTTTGAACGCTGTGCTCCAAACGGTTGAGCACTCAGGAACACCCCGAAGCCGACAATTCCTATCATGTCGGGAGTCGTTCAGCTGTAGCGCCCTTCCGGTGCCTAACTGCCATGCCAGCAGAAGGAAGCACGAGAAATATGGGTAAGTTGCCCAAGCTTAGACAGGGGAAGTCGAGAGGCAGAGGTAAGGTTCGAACCACGGACCTTCTGGTCAATGAATCCGCGCTTTAACCACTGAAACATTTTCCCCCTCCTATTATGTGGGCGGCCAACTCGCATTCACAGACCATCAGGAAGTCAGATTCCTGAAAGCAACCTCAGGACGCCCGGAACCTACTGCACCACCAAAAGCTCAACAGGAGAGCCGGCAAGCATCCAGGCCAGTCAATCGTTCATTCAATTCAGCAAATCCAATGAGTCCCCATGCACGCCACAGAAGCACGACCGAAAGTGATCAGTGTTTAGGCTTTTCATAGAGGCACGATCGATGTTGATGGGTGTTCATTAACGCCTATCAGACAGCCTGGATCAATGTCGGAAAGTCCCCTTTAAATAGCGTAGGGCCGTTGTAACCTTTGCTCTCGAACTCGCACGCACTCACGCTCTCGCACTCGTTTGTTCGGAATATAGCGTTTGTGTTCCCTTCTCCGGTATTAGGCACTGGAGCGGGTCAGCAGCAGATACCACAGATTGACGAATCAGCAGATATAGCACAGACCACCGTGGTTATCGTTGGATGATGACTCACCGGGAAGATTAAGCCAGCAGTCAAGGAATATCGTAACTTACCGCATAACTTTTTAAAGATACCGTTGCTCCTTCATGATGCAACTGGATATCGCGTATAGTTGAACGACAGACCCAAAAAATTTTCAAACGGTACTAGCTAAGATATATCTTGCATCGAGTAGTTGGTGTCACATCGTCAAACGAAGACATCTATTCGAGAGTTTTGTCAAGTCTTTGGTACTTGCTGATCGACCTTGGATCGGACACTTGTAAACAGGAAATATTAGGGTATAGAGAAAACTGCACTCATTCATCCATGGTTTTAAAACCTCCTATGAGCTATTAAACGATGTCCAAAGCAATTTGGAGTAGCTCACTACTACCTTTTAGGTAAAGCTCGACCAGTTGTTCAAGGTCGACAAGTAACCAATGACGGATGAAGACTTCTCGGAGTCAGGGTAATAGCAGGATTTTTAAGGGAGTTTCCCTGGTTCAGAAATAGAGAAATTCGGGTACCATCTAAGGGTTTGGCGACTTTTGAATCCAGCATTTTGCATACACGTTGGACAATTCCAAAAATGTGTAACAAACTTCCGGTAATTTCGTTGTCGAAGTCGTGAAGCGAAAGGCTGATACTGGAACCGACACGTTACTGCGGTGGACGTTAGGTGGTAGAGTGAAGAGAAGTCGTACGGAAGCTGTGTCGCCACCATCACCATCCTCTTCCCCACAATCAACTAGCTGTCAAAGCCAGCTTCGCTTATTGGAGTAAAGCAAGCAGAAGAGAGGCCGGTTTTAAGATTATACAAAAGTATGAGTATTCACTGTTTACTTGATCTACCGGGTTTTATTCGAAACTCACACCATTTGTAGTGTATAGGAGCAATAACAGGAGCAGTGAAAGATTTAGGGAATTAAAAGTACAAATGGGCGGGTTGTCTGCTTATCTTTACCACCAGGAACATGTACAGTGGCCTACAGGGGCGTTTAAGATTCACCGGGAGCAAGTGACGACGTAGGGCAGAGTACGACTATATGTTCGAAACTTCCAAGATGGACGGTAAGCCGAGTGCTGAGCAATGTGCATAAACGACTAAGCAAGAATGATAACCTGGGACAAGGCTAAGAAACCATTCTAGATGAGGATATTTACTTATGGCACGCAAGGTCCGTCAGTCAGCTAAACAGTGGAGCTTTCTAGAAAAGCGGGATACTATGCTGCCAGGATCACGGGATACGGTCTTCAACTTCCTTACCGCCAGTGGCCACATTTTACCTCACATCGTTTGGTGGCTTGGGCTACGATTTGACCTTAAGAAGCTTAATGCTTCTAAATAAAGCGGGAGTCCGAACTAAGTCCCGTTGTTACTGGAGTGTTGCTTAGCTTAAGGCATCAGCCTTAGACTATAAGTTCGTGGGTAGAGTTCGATCCTAATTTATCTGTCCGAGCGACATGAAGAGACTACACTGCGGTGGCTTGTATGGCGCTGAATCCAAAGGAAGTCACGCTTTAGCTATCTGAATTTCAACATCCCTTTTGGGATCAGATGGTGGGTGAAGGTGAGGAGAATCCATACATAGGTGTTTACCTCATCTCACGAAGTCGTTGAACGTGAAGTACCACCTGCTCGATGGTAAAGTCAACTTCCTCTTCTGTTGTGAAACGTCCGATACCAAAACGGATGCTTGAATGTGCCAGATCTTCTTCGGTTCCGATCGCTCGTAACACGTACGAAGGTTCCAGGGAAGCGGATGTACAAGCACTGCAAAGATAAAAATTGGGGGTAAGAAGACGAGGCGAGCAGGAAGTGGGTTTGATAGTAGCAACTTTATAAAATATGAATGGTCTGATAAAGCACAAAGAAATTCCACAACATCATTGGATTTCAGATAATGTGCAGATAACGTCGTCGAAAGTAAAACAGCGCGAGCAACAGTCATCTATAAGGTGAGATACTTTGAAGTAAAGTATTTTCGTCGTGGACAGCACGCTTTCGAATGACTGACTCTATTTATAAACTCATTCTTTTACGGTTGGAGCACCCATCTTCCAAAAATCTGACATCATATTTGACAGCAAACGGCACCCCATAAAGGAATACGATAGGTCCGGACATCGGATAGGAGGGAATTAAACAGCTGCTTCATTTTACCTGTCAGTATTACCAGCGTTGTACCGTACTTTATAATGTGTCAAACAAATACTAAAGGAGGCCGCGTGGAAGACTTCGGGACTCCACAGATACGCAAACTCTATAAGCAAGGAAAAGCAAGGCGTTCATATCCGGATTGTCAAATCAGCTTGCCATGCGAATAAACTAGTTATCAGGAAGGTCAGATTCCTGAAATCAACTTCTGAACGCCCGGAACCTACTGCTCCACCAAAAGCTCAACTGGAAAGCCGGCAAGCATCCAGGCCAATCAATCATTCAATCAATTCAGCAAGACCTGATGAGTGTTCTTGCGGCCACAGAAGCACGACCGAATGTGATCAGCGTTCAGGCTTTTCACAGAGGCACGATCGATGTTGATGGGTGATCACTAACGCCTATCAGACAGCCTGGATCAATGTCAGAAAGTCCCCTTTAAATAGCGTGGGGCCGTTGTAACTTTTGCTCTCTCACTCACTCGCTTGTTCGGAATACAGCTGTTGTGTTCCCTTCTGTGAGTCTTTTCTCTCCGACACTAGGCACTGGAGCGGGTTAGCAGCAGATACCACAGATTGACGAATCAGCAGATATAACACTAGTTGAAACGGAAAGTGTGAACAGACCTAGGACACAATTCATAACTAAAACATGATATGAACACAGATTTTACAAGTCAGACAGATAGCTACGACTAAGCATAGTCAGAGAACCAATACCAGTGGCCAGTCAAATACACGATACTTTCGCTCTGGCAGACAACCTTGTAGTGACCACATTTGTGATACGCACTGCGAGACCAGATCACATGAGCTTTAGTGGGAGCAAATCTCCCATCAGGAGGAATTTCACCAATTCCTACATATTCTATGAGCGATCCCGCGAGTGAACACCCGAAGACACGTCAATCAGTAGCTCTGTGAAGAGTGTGGATTTCATAAGCGTTACCTCAAAGTGCGCTTACAAGATGGTACCTTAGCATCGGATCATCATTAGCAGACTAAGCCGCAGTTCAACATGGTAAACTCAGTGTCGTTCATCGACGTTTTCTCTACGCAATTGTGTACTAGAGGAGGATGAACTGTTTGGCCGTGGTGTGGCCAGAAGCCCAGATTTTTACGTTTTCCAAGATGAACTGATGACAAAATTGTCAAGCATGAGGCGGTGGTTGGTAGTATACAGAAAACTCCTGGAAGCACGGCACACCATAATGGATTCGACCAAGCGGCGCATTGAAGTATAGATACAATTTGTGCATTACTGCGTGCAGAGGACGAGCCGGAATGCCCAAAGAGAGTCATTTACCCCAATTAGCGTACCAAAACACATGCTTGGAGCCAAATCAACAGATATCAGATAAGGAACCCAGAAAAATAAAAGACAGGAGTCACTCCAGCATTGACCAGAGGACAAGAGCAAGGGACACCAAGCTCAAAGGTTACACAGTCACCGACAAATTAGGACACAGGATAACAGACTAAACAATGGACCCCCCCAACCGAACAACTAATCGTGACCGAAGATCAGCTCTAGCTAACAGCACGTATATTAACACAAACGTGCCACTACTGGAGCGAGATGGCTCAGTGGTTAGAGCGCGAATTTACTGAACGGAAGGTCCGTGGTTCGAAACAGACCTCTGCCTCTAGACTTCCCCTGTCTAGGCTCGGGCAACCTGGCAGTATCCCAGCCCTTGTGCAACCTTCGGGTGGCATGGCAGTTGGGCACCGAAAGGGTGCTACAGCTGAACGATTTTATTTTATTTACTCAAATTATCCAGACCAACGTATCATGTGATCATGCAATGATTGAGACGCTATGACCGTAATCGGTTGGCCAGGAGAGACAAAATCGAATGATCCAAAGCAAAATATGTTGCTATTCGGCTGAAAAAGTGCGGGAATTAGAGGTTCCCCAGTGGGCGTGCAGCGGTGGAGTGGCGTCGACAGTCATTTACATCCTCCAGGGAGTCTCGAATCCGCGACCTCCTGCCAGTAGTTGAATACAACCGCCTGTCTACGAGTGGCTAATCAGCAGTGTAATTAACTCGCACTTAGTGAATAGGGGCACACATCCTTCAATCACGAAATATATAGCACGTGAACACATATAAACTGGCTTCTCGGGTGCGAATTAACGACAACGCCGATCAACCGCTTGTGGCTGAACGGCTAAGTGTTCAACCAACCAGCCGGGGGTTGCGGGTTCGAAACTCCCTCGAGTTTCGTGAGATCACTGTTCTACTAGAAGCAGACACCACCAAGTACGACGGCTAACTTATCACCTAAAAACGACATGAGTTGATACATTTTAGCCAATAAGACCTGAAACGATGATGACATTCAATTTGTGCTACTAGCGTTTTATGCGAATAAAAACCATCGCTAACCATGGTACTCTATGTGGGTGTGGTCTCGATTGGGCTTACTGGTTACGCAGGCAACCAAGTTGCCCGGAGCAGACACTGTTGGGTTAAGCTGTTAGGCCGCTCGCAATTGCCTCTTGAAATAAACCGCATAAGGTCTCTTGAAATTGCGGAGCTTTAAGCATATAACAGCGACAGAAGTCACTTTTTGTAAACACCGCAGATTATTAGCTGCATATGTGTGCCTAGGGTCATTTTGTGAGTGGTCGGGTCGACCGAATCACCATCTGCATACATCATGCTTCTCAACCATTTAGCTTTGTTCACCTAAGTTGACACATACGGGCCACTAGTTGAACAGTTTTAAATTTCTTCCTCTTCGCCCTCATTCCCTCAGGTTTATACTGGACGCGGGGTGTTCAGCTGGTTGCATACGCAGTTCGGCGCAGCCTAGAAGTGAAACTTCCTATCCCGTGCAGTGGGGTTATCGGTGTGGCTTGCTTTGACACTCATACCCACCAGGTATACACTTGACTCTGGTAATTTAACAGCAAAAGGCTGCCAAAAATGCATTTACGCTGTGGACGTTTCCGGACCTTTATCAATCAGACCGCGAAAACCTCATTGGCGTAAGAGTAGATGGTCGTCTGTCGGATTGGAAAAGGGTTGTGTCTCAGGAGCTCAGTTGATAGTAAGGCTTGAAGAAGCAATTCAAAAACGAAATTTTCGGCCAAATTGAATAGGATTCGTTACGCTGAGGGTGATTCATGGAATTCCGCAGGAACCGAGTTCAGAAGAGTCAGGAGTCAAAAACGGGTTTTTAGAGTGGGGAAATCAATAGCGATTACCCAGTTATTTCGTCTGATCGCCTTCTGACGGCAGACTAGTGTCGCCCTCCTTCATGTGCTAGTGAAGCAACCATGTGCAATAAGTGATAAGTAAAGGAAACAGTTACACACGCCATTGGAATGATCGCCTATCTAATCTAATGGTTTGGATGGAGTCTAAAATGGAATAATAATGTTCGAGTGATCGATCTAACAACGAGCGTTACGAACTTACCTGCCCGAGGAAAGCGCAATCTTCTTCAACGCCATGAGGAGACTCTCGCCTTCGACACAGGAAAAACTGAGATTAACACAGCCAGGGTACCGTGATTCTGGATCGCCATTGAGCACCACGTGGCTGGTTTGTGAGAATATTCCATCTATCAGACGTTTGCTTAGAGCACTGACATGTTGGTAATCTGCCTGGAACACACAAGAGTTCAAGCGAGTGGGATGCATAAGTTTAGGATATACAATATTCTGTTGCCAGTGCAAGGAGCAGAATATTGTTCACAAATACGGTTGCAGCACCTCACAATAAAACTACAGTCAAACGCTGACAAGTAGTAAGATGAAAAGTCTAGAAATACGTATTCAGCTAGAAAACTCCACTATCCCTTGAGAGATCAGCTGGTCACATTCCACAGGCTCATCATCATCAAAAACAGCAAGAGCAGTATTAAAAGCCCTACAGTGAAGAGAAGAGAAAAGGAGTGGGTGAGGGAGGGGACTTAGTGCTGGCCCATGTCAAGCATACTGAGGTGCCTACACCTCCAACCGCCCAGTCAGACAATCTGGAAAGAAACTGATAGCAAGAACGTCACTGACATCGATTAGCCGCCATTTCTTGCAACGTCTCCAGCCAAGCACAGACGGGGTCACGGGGACCCCATCCCGGGAGGCGTACAACACCAACAGCCAAACTCTTCGTTATCTCTTTCACGCCTTTCTTCCAAGTCATGTGCTGTCCACCTCGCGGTTGGCGCCATCCTGAAGGAGGCAAGTAGAACAACACTCGTCTCGGTAGACGGTGTTTCGGCATGCGTAGCACATGACCGAGCCATCGCAGTCGATGATGCTGGATGTTTTCCCGGATTGAGGTGCCTGTAGCACAACCAAATACCCGTTTTCTAGTAGCCACCCACAACCAGCCACGCTTCTGAGGCATCGGTGGTCGAAAACCTGAAGACGCCTCACATCCTCTACCCGCAGAGGCCATGTCTCGCACCCATGCAACAACACAGCCCTTACTGTAGCCTGGTACACACGACCCTTAAGATCCAGTGAGATGCCTTTTTGACGCCACAAGTGACGCAAATTAGCAAACGTGATTCGAGCCTTTGAGATCCTTGCACTGACTTCATCAGCCACACTTCCGTCAGAGCTAATACAACTACCGAGGTATGTAAAGTTTTCCACAATCTCCAGTGGTTCTCCTTGAACTGTAAGGGATATGTTCGCAGATGGCACGTTCTGAAGCAGGACTTTGCACTTCGAAGGTGCAAGGCGCATGCCAAATGATGGTATGATGGCGGTCAGTTTGTTCAACAGGGCTTGTGCTTCGCTAAGGTCTTCAAAGATGAGGGCGATGTCATCTGCGTACTCCAGATCGACAAGGCTCTCGCCAGCAACAATTTGAACACCGGGGTTTTGAAAACCGTCCAGTGTTCGCCTCATTATTTCATCGATGACGAAGTTGAACAAGAATGGGGAGAGTGGACATCCTTGTCTGACACCACTTTTTGTAGGAAAGCACTTGGAGAGCTCACCATACACAACCATGAACTGCACATTCCACAGGCTACGCTGGTCGGGTCACGAGAATCGTATGTCAGAGGACTGTTTGCTTCGTAGAGCCCTGTTCGTCTGACTTTGCATCGGATGGAGACAACCAGTCCATGGTTTGGCAACGAAGCATGAAAGCCCTGACCAGGAACCTGAATCACGTCTGCCCGGATGGGGACCGCGGGACAAGACAAACCAATGGTTAGTGACCCCTATAGATATGGGTGTGCAACGCAGCCAATGGCGGTTCTGAATCGAAGCTATCGCCCTCAGTGCGTAGCTTTCACAGTTGCCATATCGGACACGCAGAAGGATTGACATGAGCGAGCCGATTGGACCGTCGCTTCCAGCATGTAGCATTCATTTTCTCGTTCTTCTTATTTTTGGTAAAAAAAGGTGTAGCAGCTGGAACCAATGTACTTCGATGAACGGTTTATGAGCTGAACCACTTAGTCAGTAATCGATGGCAGGGTATCAATATAAAGTAGGAAACAAGTAGGAACGGAAACAAAGAACGATCGGAATACACTAAACTAGGAAATCTGGATTCTTGATGAGAAAGTACTTAATTCCAGCGGCTCCTGACAGCGTATACCCCATTTCTGAAGAATGCCACCATACAAATTATTTCTACTAAGAGAGCGAGATAGCTGTGGTTCCACTGCGTGGTTCGAACCTTTGTCTCTCGACTTCACCTCTCTAAGCTTGGGCAAACTGGCAGTATCCAAGCCCTCGTGCTTCCTTCGGGTGGCATGGCAGCTAGGCACCGAAAAGGTGCAACAGCTGAACGATTTTTATTTTACCTTTACTACTGGGCAGCCGTGAAAGTGTCATCATAGTTTAACTCGTGGCAACCATTCAATCACGATTCACACGAAACTGAATTTGCAGCCAATGATATTGTAGGTCGCCTTGTTGACCGATACTCACGGTCACCAACGCTTGGATAGTAAAGGTACTTTCATGCGTACCCATTTAGTCTCTACAGTATTCGCGCTTGTATAATTAAATTCTTGCTTCACCATTGCCGAGAGAATCAGCAATGCTGTTGGTGTTTCTTTACCACACAACCAGGGCGGATATGTTTTGAACGATACTGTGGCAAAAAGAACAACAAATGGATAAACAAGGTTTAGTGCAAGTCTTCCAGAAATATGCATGGGCGTTAAAACACCCATCTAGACTGAAGGTTGTCTTACAGCAACCGAGTTCAGCGTCACGATAACAACACAAATCATTTTCTGGAGGGCCAAGTAGACCGATAGAATCCGGACCTTTTTATCATCCGTTTGGGTGTACAGCTTTGCGAGAAGGCAAATTGAGAGCAACACCTGGTGTCTGTCTATAAGGGACTAGCAGTACGAACAAGAAACCAACTTCAGATCATTGCTTCTGACAGCAATGCACCAGTAATGCAAAATGGTGCTTAACTGTGATGACCCTATAACCGTCAGCTCTAGGTGCTCAGTTTTAAAAACAACACATCCAGTGGTATTCAGAGGTTTGAGCATTATGACAGCACACCCACAATACTTGCAACACGTTTGCCAAAACCCGACCGGAAAGCTTACACACATTACGTCTCAGTATAGGGGTTGGACACGTTGAAAATAGCTAACCGCAGCCGGGGAAGAACCCAGTATAAGCACATAACAATGGTGGAAATACGTCTAGATGTACCTTCATCTCCTGTTTCGCCAGTGCGCAAGCGGCTCCCAAAGCGACGGTAAGCGCTGTTGGAACGGTACCAGATCGTAGACCTCGTTCCTGCCCCCCGCCACTCTGATGGGCCTCCAGTCGAACACGTGGACGACGACGGACGTACAAAGCCCCGATACCTTGTGGGCCGTAGATCTTGTGTCCACTGATTGACATCAAATCAATCTTAGGGAAGGGGATTCGGAAACAAAATAACTCGAAGAACACACCAAAGATAAACATAACCAAACAGTCGTAACACGGACATGACTTTCGGTAAGTAGGAAAATATTCGAAATTACGCATATCTTATAATGTTGTCCATCATCAGTAGTTGTGAGCAACTGCAGCAAATTCTACTGGTAACTATGAAAGTGGCACTTGGTACAACAACTGTAAACTGAAATTGCACAGTCTGCGTTTCATAAAGGAGGCCGTTAAAATCTGAGTGATAAACAGAGGCATGATTTGTGAGCAGTCAGCAGTTGAATCATGTGATGCATTCACTAAAACATTTGGCTATTTTTGGGTGGGCAGTTGGATTTTCCGACTTTTAACCAAAACCGTGGTAGGTGTGATAAGTACCAAGTCAGTTGTCACATTGTCCTGGTAGTCTGGTTCCAGTGCTGCGATGATCCTTTGCGCTAAACTAGCTGGGATTCAGTTCCTTCAGGTTCAACCATGCTTAAGGTAGCTCAGTGGTCAAGTTGCCAGCTTACGGACCGGAAGATCCATGGTTCGAACACAACGTCGGCATCTTGACTGCTTGTCTGGGCTTGGGTAACCTGGCAGTATCCTCGCCCTCGTGTATGCTTCTATTGGCACTGACGCTAGGCACCGAAAGGGCGCTACAGCTGAGCCATTATTATCTACTATCATCAACCATGTCACGAAGGCCGACGGGGAGGAGCCCGACAAAGAACAGAAAGCTCCACACTACGAGTAACCACATCTTCAGGTCTTGGATAAAAATCCTATGTTATGGGAGTGTGAAGGCAATAAGGTGTTTTCCCCAAGCGACCAGCAGCGATGCTGATTCTCATCTAATGAAGAAGAACACGTTGGAAAACTTGGCGCTAGAAAGCGCATACTTCGATCCACTAACGGTTGACTGTGACCGCTGGCGGATTATTCATTGCGGTAGAAAAACAAATTAGCCTTAGCAAGAGCCTGATGCGGTTCCAAAGGCACCTGCTATGCAGCAGCCAGCAGTCTAGCAGATCAGGCTATTAAGTCATCTGCTCCGGGCAGGGTCCGTCAATAATGCCTTAATTGCCGCCTCGTGGGTCATACGTTTGCGTCAGAGGCTGCGGGCAGGGTCTACAAACAAAACACTAAATCCACTTAATTTCTTGTGGGTCAGATTTTTTAGTCAATGATTCGGGATGGACAACCCGGAAGTACCATCGCCTAGGTATTCCTGACTCACTTAGCTGTCAGTCGCCTAACAGTTGCTTCACATCTAAAATTCTGCCCAGGAAAACAAGCCGAATTAAATCCTTATTGAGGCATTTACGTCCGCACTGTGTTAAATTGAGCAACGGGTAGCCCTTGCTCAGGCCTTGTTCTATCCGTCGATTGATGAATATTGTGTCTCCGAAACACGCATTCAAGATCCAAGTTCATCTCAAACCGGTCAATACGAACCCAGATTCTTCTAGTGTTTGCTGATCCTGATGCAATGACTCGTGGTAACTACGGCCTGGGAATCGCGCTTAGTCCCAGGACTGAATGCATTTCGACGTGGTAAACGGTGTTTACTTGTATCAGCATGTGATCCAACGGACAGCAATTCTGAAGCCGGGAAAGACAACTTTAATCGAGATTCGCCTTGCCCGCTTCGGTCATCCGGAGCATAGATGCCGTGGTTCTGGCAGGTGGTATGAAGGATCAGGTTGGGTGACTAAATTATGATGAAGCCTATCTAGGCGACCGATTCGAGGTTGACGCTCATCTGACTGAAAATGCAAAAAATCGTTCAGCTGTAACACCCTTTCGGTGCCTAACTGCCATGCTAATCGAAGGAAGAACGAGGACTGGGGTACCGCCAGGTTGCCCAAATCTAAACAGGGGAAGTCGAGAGGCAGAACTTTCCACGAACTTTCCGTTCAGCAAATTCGCGCTCTAACCCGAGGTATTTCGCCCCCCCCCCCAGATAATGGAGTGCTCTAATTATATACTGAACACGTTGTTTATAACCGACACAAGCACTCATACAGTGCAACTTGGAGGCCTCCAAATTCGAGCCAGCTGTTGACTCAGTTTGCGTTCAAAAGCGTTCAGCTGTAGCACCCTTCCGGTGCCTAGCTGCCATGCCACCCGAAGGAAGCACGAGGGCTGGGATACTGCCAGGTTGCCCAAGCCTAGACAGGGGAAGTCGAGTGGCGGAGGTCGGATTCGAACCGCGGACCTTCAGGTTAGTAATCCGCGCTCTAACCACTTCGGCCATCTCGCCCCCTGACTCAGTTTGACAATGTGGCAGTCAGCTACCGGTGGAGAGCTTCGATACAATCTTGCCGTACATTGTGGGGTACATCGCTGGACTCTGATCACGGCGTCGTGAGGGCACATGTATCTATTCGCTTTCTTTCGGAAAAACGCCAGTTAGCGATTGCGATCCAGTTTATCGCCTGCGAAGCGTCACTATAGCTTAAGAGTATCGCGTTGGGTTGGCTGAGAAGCTCCCAGAACTTGACGGGTACGATGGTTATAACGGTGATTTGGATTAAGACTGGGAAAGGTGCTGGAAGCTTTCGAAATCGCCTGCCTGACGTCCCTCGCACATCACAATGAATATACCGGATCTCGTTAAGATCAGTAGCGCTGAAACAAAGCCAGAAAAACTATATCAACAATAAATGACTGTGACGGCACACGCAATTCCCTTGAACGCCAAACAATTAGGAGCCTAAGGATTAACAGAGAGTGCTTGTGGATTGCAAATGCCCGAGAAATGAAAAAAAGCCTTTGCAACAAAAAACAATCGCGCTCTGTTCCAGTTAATCTGACGAACTGGTCTGGGAGGGCGGGTGGTAACGAAGCTATCGCCAAAAAGGATGGGATCTCAGCTCGTTTACAGAAGTGTTATATTGAAAGATGGGCTGAACACTTTGGAAAACAGTTCGGCTGGCCTTCATCAACTCTGCCTCGAGAACGAGTAAATCAACTCGGATGGAACATCGATATCAGTCCGACATCGGCAACAGAAGTCCAGCTTGCAATTTCATTACTTCAGATTGCTTGCATTTTGCACTCTCCCAAGAATTTTGCGAGTTCCCAGCGTCTAGTCTGACAACTTTACGCCAAAGTATCAGGAGTGAGGAAAGAGTACTGGCAAAGTTGAGCTCCTCGAAGGTGATTCCTATTTTTAAGTGCGTGAACATCATCCGAAAACCAGCGGTGCGCCAGTATATTGCCATAGCTTCCAGTGTACTGTGGCACCATCTTATGGAGGCTGATCCATTATAGGGAGAGTCAGAGTCGAAAAAACAAACAGTTTCACAGCGGTTGGGGTTGCATCGAGCATTTCTTGCGACAACTGTTCGAAACGCGCCACTCCTCCAGGTGGCCAAAAGTGATCGCCTTTCTCGATCCCATATCTGCTTTTGACTACGCCACTCGTCCGAAACTGTGACAGTGTCCGGCGATGAAGGGTGCCCCTTTTCTTATGAAGGTATTATACGAGTCGATCTGTGGACGAGTACGCGTCCACGGTAAATCCCATCTTGATTTCACCACATAGCGGCTTCCAGCAAGTGTCCTCTGTTGCCTTTCCTTTTCGGCTTCGCTATGTTGTTTGTATCTTCTTCACCTGCCTGTATCACCTCGTGGGTCGAAATACTCCCAAGTCGTTCGCTCACGTGCACTGAGCACGCTGAAGACAGTGCTGTCTAGGGGTCAGACCTTCCAGAAACGCAAATTATTTTAAACAACCTAAACAATTCTGTTGTACAGTTCAGTATGGGCTCCTCACCTATGAAGTGTAGTGTTACTACAAGATTGAATGAGATCAAACCCAAAACTCACGCTTGTAGATGAACCGGTCCGCATTAGTCCCGGCGGACTGGTAAAAGACGATATAACTTCCGGAATTGGGAAGGCCCAGATAGCGATTTACAACCTCCGACATTTGTAGCGCCAACGTGTTATAAGCATGACCGTCAAGGACAGAATGTACAATGCCACGGTCGGATTTGTCCTAATTTATGAATCAGAAACGGGGTCCGCTGTGGGCGTAAGGTCTTCGGAGACTCTCTGTGCTTGAGCGGCTATACCCCCCGAAGATTTGAGCGGCTGGTGGTATGCCAGATGGCTTTCGAGAGATGTCACCCTCACTCAACAGATCAGCTTATCATATCCCTTACTACCTGTCATACCGGACAAAAAACATTTAACGCCAATGAAATTATTGGGCCATCGCCTACAGTATTTGGCCCTCGTTCCCTTATTCTCCTTATCCTTGGTGAACGAATTTGTTGCGGCTGAAACTGTTGTAATTCGGTGTCCGCTAAAAAAAAACTTATTCTCCTTATCCTTGGTGAACGAATTTGTTGCGGCTGAAACTGTTGTAATTCGGTGTCCGCTGAAAAAAAAACTAAATAGTTAGATTGAAATTTTTTAATCATGCGAACAGCATGTGCTTAGAGGCCACGTGAGGCAATATGGGACCCACCATGACATACTCAAAGTTGGATTCAGAATGAAGAACGTAGCAGGGTGCCTCTCATATAATAACATTCCCAGTCCTCGAAGATTGCTCAGCATGACCGTGTCAGTAATACGAACGAATTTTGTCTAAATGCCACCTACAAACTAGCAAAATGGACTGGCCAGTTGACGAAAAAACAGGCTCCTAAATGATGGTATTTGAGGCTGTCGTTGAGATTCTTCAACAAAACAACAGCAACTTTTCCGCTATGGCACCCTTTCAGTGTCTAGCTGCCATGCTTCCTTAGCATGAGGACTGAGATACTGTCAGGTTGCCCAAGCCTAGACAAAAGCAGTCGAGATGCTGAAGTTGGGTTCAAACCATGAACATTCCGGTCAGTAAGTTCGCGCCACGTCCAGCTAGAAACGCCTTTCCGGAGGACGTGAATCGTTTCTCCGCTCAAGGCGCTACCCGATTGGAGTGCAAATAAGGAAAGCCCGTAAATAAGGTGTAAATAAGGAAACCGTTTTGATTAAAATGTAAGAAAAAACTCACATTCATCTTATTCACATCCAGAGGAATTTTCCCGACCGCCTGAGCAGCATCCGTGTGAAAAAACACTCCCTTATTCCGGCACAACTCTCCAATAGCTTCAACTGGCTGGATAACTCCAATTTCATTGTTCACTGTCATCACAGAGACAAGACTAGTATCAGGTCGGATAGCTTTCTCCAGAACCTAGTGGGCAAGAGTTACGATTACCAGATTGACACTAACCTGCAAATCTAGGATGCCATTAGTCTGCACTGGCAAATAAGTAACTTCAAAACCTCGATTTTCGATAGCTCGACAAGAATCGAGTACACATTTGTGTTCCTGTATCGAAAATAATCAGCTTACTGATCTGAAAGCACATACTGTCTGTGTAGTTATAACGTGTTTCTTCTTTGGGGCATAGAACGCTGAGACGCCTTTGACAGCTATGTTATTGCTTTCAGTGGCCCCACTGGTAAAGATGATTTCTTTCGGATCTGCGTTAATCAAATCGGCAACTTGCTGCACGGCGTAAAGTTAGTGTTGAGGTAAAAAAACGTTACCTTTCGTGCATTTTCCACGGCCTCTTCACATTCCCAGCCGTATGCGTGAGTTCTTGAGTGAGGATTCCCAAAATGACTGACATAGTAAGGCAACATCGCATCTAACACTCGTGGATCCTGAAGAGGTCTATCTGGAGAGGTAGTGAATGAATGTGCTTACGACGGGGCTGGTTGCTTGTGCATCGAAGTAAATGGGTCGGACCATGTTACTGTTGTTCGTTTTGTTTCTCTGGCTGTCTTCAACTAAAACTAGAGGTGAGATTACACAAACTGGTCATTAAGCGAAAAGTACGCTCTGCTTCGGCACACAACATCCGTTTGGCAAACGAAGCCAGCCGATGAAAAGCAGGACGGATCATTCCATGGGACAGCATAGCAGAGGGCGTCTGGAAGAATAAAGATGCGAGAAAAAATTGTTTTCTTTACAAAAAATTATGCCGAAGAACATGACCAGCTAAGGTGCAGTCAACGAAACCCGTCGGACACTAAGATCTGAAGTCGTTATCAACAGCCATCTAGACTATCTCTTCAGCTAGCAGTGTAAGCAATCAGTCGTTGAGTGACACCAAAACACCACTACTGTCCATTTATCAGACAGTTTTGGATTCACTGGGTATACCCATCACCATAGACAGCAATATATAAGCGGTGGAAAACCAAAGGCAAATGGACCGTGCCGTCAGGAACATCTTGGAACTTACCGTTAGTTGAAGGTTTGTGCATCTCAGTGACATACTGAACCATACTAGAGATTGCCTGTGTGACGTTCGTGGTTTCTCATACCAGACTGGTCCGTAGAAAGGGGTCAGACTAACAATATCCTGGACCTCCAGGATGGGGGCTGGAATGTGACGTGTCTCAAACATTACACTACTCCGGCGAACTCAAGCCAACCAGTGCGACCTTGCAGTCAGATTTTTGAGCTACCGTGGTCAACCTTTCAATCAATGGCTATGATCATTATCACGGACGTCTCTGTACCATTGGCACTGACTTTCTTGAGCACGTCGGCCTCTTGGTCGATGCTCGACATCGAGCACTTCTCGATAGGGATCGCAAGTCGGGTACTGCTGCCGTGCACCATACTTGGCCATCCGGCCTTTAGTGTTGCCAGCTTATCCTATTTGCCAATCATACCTGGAGCTATTCAACAGCTTCCACGGTCTCTCGCGACTCTTGCAAGATAAGCTTTGTGTCATCATATCATTGACACACTATTCTCACGGGGGTCCTCCGATGAACGCAATTCCCCGACGCCTTGCCTGACCAGCTGCTGGAGGACAGCATCGTCCACCCCTCCAAACGTGCATGGGTACTGCCATTGCACATGGTCCCCGAGGAGAACTCCAATGAGTGGCGTCCGTTGGAACTACAGGACACTCAGTCGGGTTCCCATTCCTGACACGTACCCTATCTCACACACACGACCCTATCGGGCCGTTGACTACGGTAATTGTCTTCAGAGAGATAGACTTCGTGCGCGTTTACCACCAAATACTGATAGCACTTCGGGATATCGAGAACACAGCCGCCACCACACATTTAGCCTCATCGATTTTCTCCGAACACCATTTAATTCGAGCAACATGTCTCAATTCATCCAACGCTTTATCGACTCCGTCGTCAGCAAGGTGAATTTTGCCCACCCATACTTGGATGATATTTTAGTGGACAGTCATAACCATGTGAACTCTTCGAAAGACATGACAGTCATAACCATGTGAACTCTTCGAAAGTCTACGACATAGTGTCACCGTGAACACCGGCAAATCCAAACTCGGGCGTAGTATACTGTCCTTATGTGGACATGGGATAGACTCCCCTGACACAAAGCCGGTAGAAGATAAAGTTGCCGTCTTTCGTGAGTTTCCGATGCCCACTACCACGACTCAGCTCCACCGTTTTTCGGCCTTGCGGACTATTGCAATCGGTTTATATCGCGTTGCGCACATGTAACCAGCCCACTAACGGATCGTAAGGACAACCAAAGAGAGGTCCCTGGCTTCCCTTAACGAAATGAAAGAAGCTCTTCGTCACCAAGAGCCATCGGCGTCACTGAGCGTCGCCGTAAGCGAAATTCTTCAACAGCGCTTTAACGATTCTTGACATCTGTTAGCGTTCTTTTCTGGAGGTGCTTTAGGCGCCAATAAGCGCAACAGTACATGTGGCCGCATCATCAGTATTACCAACAGCATAACAGTGTTCAAAACCGATGCTTCGCTGACGCACGTTCTTCTGGCACTGCTGAGGTCATCATCATCATCGACAGCATGACATCAGTGTTCAACACTGATGCTTCACTGGCGTACAACCACGACTTATTTGAAAGCCTCATTGTAAAGAAAAGAGTAAAGGCGGACGAGGGAGGGACTTAGTGCTAGCTTACCACAATCATTCCGAGGTGCCTACACCTCCAGACATTCACTCAGGCAATCTGGATAGAACCTGACAACAAGAACGCCACTGACATCGGTTGGCAGCCATATCTTGTAGTGTCTCCAACCAGGCACAGTGAGGATCACGC